GATTGTACAATTGTGACAATATTATAAGTAAATATTTGTTTCAGCAGTATTACAGCTGCACAGTGTTGTTTGTTAACACATCGAGTATGAACCAGATAATCAAGTGATTGTCACCATGCCATACAATGACAGGACATGTGTTTATGAATGACTGTGAGGTAGTGATGACACCAGGTGTTCGCCAATGTACCTGAAAATATCTCCTACTGCTTGTTCATATATTATGATAAACGTTAAAATGCACCAAACACATGACACTTTCAGAAGTCGCAATGGGTAATATTTGTGAGATAAATGCATGGTTCTACGCATGGTTTTGGTTGGATCGGTTGGACACAGCAATATTCCAGCTCTATGGCGGCGGTCTGTAAATAATTAAGTCTCCAGACAATCCAGTGATCAGCACCATGAGCATTGATCCAAGCAGTCTGGATACATGACATGTGTCAACCAAGGCACCTCGCTGACCATCCGATCCCGTTAGTCGCCTTTTCCGACAAGCATTGGTTGCCGAAGACCGATTTTTATACGAATCTTCACGGGTCTCAACGCATGGCCGTTCAGATTAAAGCACGTATAGTGGTACAATTATCTTCCTTAGGTCTGACGGCAATTGCGAGTTTGTTCAAAATTGCCTGTGTTCACCCAGAAAATGGGTACCCTGTGTGATAAGGCATATGACTATAACCCTCTAGCGCCTAGCAGCTTGGGTTATATCCCGGATAATAATTGTGTGCGGTTTGTGCGAGTTTTGAGCATGCCCCTTTGTGGTGTGGAGTATTGCGCGGCATAAATACCCTTACAAGTACCCTTATTTATAAATAATACTTATGTATTATTAGGTAATCCACCTGCTATTTCATGACATCTCTTACGGTGAAAACCGGTTGCTTTAAGACCTAAATAAACAAGTGCTCACAAAGGGGGAGTTCCGAATCCGAGATCCCCATTGTTAACGCTAAGTGTGTGTATATTTACCCGCGCCAATCGGTTTTCCTCGTAGAAGTAGTGTTTGTAGTCGTCAAGCCAGACTTCTGCAACCCGCATCGGGTTGACCAAGGAAGGTTTTCCACCCATCTTCCACTTTATTGGATTCACATTGCGAAACACATGAGCTACGTGGGAACAGGGTAACACCTCCAGGGTCCCGTTACACATCCATGTCTGAAAATCCACAATTATGACAGTCATGATTTTGTACCAAAACCAACGTTCTGTGCTTCAGAATTGATTGTCATAAACTTTGATGGTTGAACCGAATTCGAAGTAATGCTCATTTGGTATTTATCACGGACGGACAGCTCTAAACTGATTATGTGTGAAGCTCATTTCTTGTATCCCCGGCGGTGATATTGCTGGAATATTGCTAAGAGCGGCTTTCAACTAACGTCACTCACTCATTGTGGGTAAATTAGACAGGGGCGGTTTCTGTAACGCATGTCCATCGTTGCACAGTAATCTGCTGTTATAACGAACATGCTTATAACGAACATGCTTGTAACGAATTGACGGAAAAACCGAATTGTCTTTATCCCGACCACTGGCTGTAAATTATATTCAAAATGCGTATAACGAGCTTCTGTAATACCGAACAGCAGTGGTCCCATTGACTTCGTTATAACCGTACTCTACTGTACATTGTTTTACAGGTATGTTTTTACTGTTGTCTTGCCACTCAACACAACACGTTCGTTAAGTCGAACTTAAGTGAGGTTGGGGTTAACACAGTTGTGAGCAAACGTTTTAAACTATTGAATGAAATGTGCCACAGTTCCCAAGCTCAACTATGAAACGGATGCGCGCAGTCAGAATCATAAAACATGCATGTGGCGGCCAGGGTGAATTCCTGCATGTCCTTCTTGACTGTGTTGATTTGACCATCACAAGATCTTTTTAACAAAGTTAATTATCATTTAATTATTGAGTTTTTAAAGGAAATTTAACTGAAATAAATTGTGATTGGTATCATTTGTAGATATATATGTTTTAATGATAAGATTTAAATTAGTAACTTCGATTGTTAGTAGCTGTACCATCAAGGTGGGTTAAAGTACTGTAAAATTATTGTCCTCCTGAAAGGGACTCCCGAAACTTTGAAATTGATTTAAAAATTTACCAGGTTTGTAACCGTATGATTTTTGTGATTTTTAATTATTGCTCAATTTGACTACAATTATCAGTGGCTGAAGGGATGATGTAAATCCAGCTAGGGTCCATGTAGGTAGCAAAGGTTCTGTGCGTCCCCATGGTCGATTTGCTGGTGATCTATAGCCTGTTTTTTATATTGTATTTTTTATGATAGTGTACTAATTTTATGAACTGTGATCGTCTAGTATTTTCACTGTCCTTCGATGACAGGTTTCTACGTTCTAAATTTATTGATCTTAATATTGATATAAATAAATTGTTCTCGTCACGATATGGCTGCAGTATTGCCGATGAGACGCTAAATATGAACTCACTCACTCACACACTCATGTCATGGTGTGTGGTCCTGTGTAGGGGTCACACATCAGTTCCAGTTAAGCAACGTCGAATGCGGAGACGAAGCACGTGAAACATGAGGTCACACCTTCGTAAGTGAGTTTGTACAAAATTGCCTCTGTTCACCCAGCAGAAAAATGGGTACACTGTGTGATAAGCCATGTGACTAGAACCTTCTATCGCATAACAGACACCTTGGGTTAACCGGGGTAATAACGTGCTGTATTATTGATGTTTGGCGCTATGAGCATACCTAGTGTGGAGTTTGGCGCTATATAAATGGACACATTATGACTGTGTATGGATTGAACAACTCTGACATCTTCGTGGATGATGGATGTTGATGAGATAACTGAGCAAGGAAGACCACAAACGTTCTTACGAGTTTAAACTATTTCCAAGTGAAAGAGGTTCATACTTTGAAAGACAGTTCCATGTTCTCACCGCCCCAGTACAGGAGTCCCGGGTCATACGTTCCAAGTGTTGTGAACCACTGTCTGTCTATAGCAAACAAGCCACCAATCATTGTAGGCGATCTGAAAACGAATACAATATAACGTCTAATACCATCTCAAATAAAATTAAACTTAAAATTTCAATTGGAATTGATCATCTGAATCAGACGGCCAAGTGGATCTGGTTTTCAGGCTTGGTTCATATATATCATCGTATCCCAGTTACGTAGATCGATGATCATGATGTTAATCACTTGATAGTGTCGTCTAGGCCCTCATATTTACAGACCGTCGTCATATTGTTGGAATACTGCAAGAATTTGGATTAAACATCAAACACAATAGTAGTTATTAGTTCAACCATTAAAATTAACTAATAACTTATGCATGTCACCAAAAATCTACTAGTTCAACTATTAATGCAATCACTGTATCACCTATTCACTGCGATTGCAATCTATATATATCACCAGTTCAACTATTAATGCAATCACTACGTTACCTGTTTAACTATTAATGCAATCACTATATTATCAGTTCAACTATTAATGCAATCACTATTTTATCAGTTCAACTATTAATGCAACCACTATGTTACCAATTCAACTCTTAATGCAATTACTATGTTACCAGTTCAACTATTAATGCAACCACTATATTATAAGTTCAACTATTAATGCAATCACTATTTTATCAGTTCAACTATTAATGCAACCACTATGTTACCAGTTCAACTATTAATGCAACCACTATGTTACCAATTCAACTCTTAATGCAATTACAATGTTACCAGTTCAACTATTAATGCAACCACTATATTATAAGTTCAACTATTAATGCAATCACTATTTTATCAGTTCAACTATTAATGCAACCACTATGTTACCAGTTCAACTATTAATGCAACCACTATGTTACCAATTCAACTATTAACGCAATTACTATGTTACCAGTTCAACTATTAATGCAATCACTATGTTACCAGTTCAACTATTAATGCAATCATTATGTTACCAGTTCAACTATTAATGCAATCACTATGTTACCAATTCAACTATTAATGCAAGCGCTATGTTACCAGTTCCATTATTGATACAATCACTATGTTACCTGATCAACTATTCATGCAATCACTATGTTACCAATTCAACTATTAATGCAATCACTATGTTATCAGTTCAATCAGTATGTTACCAATACAACTATTAATGCAATCACTATGTTACCAATTCAACTAGTCATACAATCAGTTACTTTTTCCGATTCAACTATGAATGCAATCAGTATATTTTCGATAACAATATTATCGGTGAAGCTGAATGTAATGAAGGTACACTACACATCAAAAGTTTAGACTCACTAATGTGAATGTAGCCACTTACTTTAGCCAATTGTTCTGAACCAGATTTTGCAAAATATCCCATACTGTTTAAAGGTACTGTTTACACATGAACTGATGTATTGTACAACAAATCCGTAACGTTGAAAAGATTATTGTCCTGAGTTCAATGAATGATGAAACTCAGTAAAAATTGACAAATTCATTACAAACTTTTACACCAAAACGCAGCTGTTCACATGCACGATATTTGCACATGCTCTTCAGCAATTTGATGCATGATCCGCGTGCAATTCATCTGCATACAGTTCGCAGTTGGTTCCCCCAAGGTAGTGGAGAAATTCTCCTTCGATGTAACCATATATATATATATATATATATATATATACATAACACATAGTGAGTGCTTTAAGTGAGTCTATAATTTTGATGGATAGTATATTATCGATTAAAGTTTTAGTGCTCTATTTCACTACTTCATGGATCAATACTACGACCTTCCAGCTAAAGAATGGCATAAACGATTTTACCATTAATATGTTTATATTAAAGTTTCTGTCATTCGGGCGTTACAAAGCTGAGGAATGAATCAATATTGCCGCAGTTTTAGTTTAACTTACAATCTCTAGAACTGTGATCGTCACGTTTAAAGAACACTGCTCAACTGTGTGACAAAGGGTTGTCCTAATGCGTTATGCCCAGTACAGTTCCTGTGTAGTTACCTGATTGGGTCAGTGGGTGTTTTCAATGTGCTCCTTCTGTGTTTGCTGACATGCTCCCAGTGGAAAGTCAACAACTTCCATCTGAACACCCCTAAACGCTTGGTGTTATTGAAAATACCAGTTCCGAAATCTTGGGAACTGATCACATCAATCATAGGTATCGTTACAGTCCTCGGATTCTCCCGAATGCGACTTAGTAGTGGTTCCAACCAACCTAGAAAATAGACGGCACACTACGATACTGTATCAAATTCAAATGAATAGAGGTTTGTGGAAAGCGTTTTATGTCCATTTTGTCTGTTACCATGGCATTGTGCGTGAACGGCCTGTCTAAATCTAGTCGTGCATGTTTGTAAAATAATCGGTTCGGAAATCATTGTCACATTCTCTGAATAAGATGACGAGATATAGTAAAAAAAAACATAAAACGTTAAAGCCAGAGAATACTGAGTCACTATCGTCTTACGAAACAGATTCAGTTGTGTGTTTGTGACAAGCTACGTATGACCCTTATATAACCTGATCACAGAAATCACTGATGCTTGGATAGGATATTTTCGACTCATGTGTTCATTGTCTTGTGCCATTCCAGTTTGATTGGTTGAGGCTTAAGTATGCACTTCTTTGGTCTTACAGCACAAGCTGATCATACCGTCATTTTATGTAAATCACTGTTGATAGTGTCGATAAAGGGAATACTTCTTCTTGCGAACAGATACAGTACAGGACTATCGGTTAGGTATTGATCAATTGAACAGCTGCTGCTGTGTGGAGCTCTATGGTTTGAGGGGAACACGCTGTATTCTTTGTGTGGATACAATTGGCCCGTAAATTGGCAAATGTTTAGTCGTTATTTAGAATTGAATCGGCTGCCTTTTATATTCAAATGTCCTCCAGCTGGTGTTGCGTTCTCGTCTTGGTTGGTGGGTGTTTTGAACCATCACGTTCTTCCTCCGTTAGGCTGCCATTATGGCGTGGACCATATATATAATATTTTCCTCAAAGTCAAATTTGTCTTTTGTCAAGTTAGATATAGATATAGATATACTCTTCAAAAAGGAGAAACTTGACATAGGACAAAATTCAATTTTAGGAAAAATTATATATATGGTCCACGCCATAAGTTATTATTTGACACAAACCAGTCCATGCTGAATCCCAGCATGTTGGGGAATGGTTGCCGACGACAAAACGTTTGAAAAAAGAAACGATTAATAAAAGCGTAACGTTACACTCATGTCTTTAGTGAATCGCTAAAACGCACCCTACAAGAAATACTCGAGCATCATGGAATTGTTAATCACCCTGAGCTGAAGCCTATGACTGTAGGCTTTAAAAAGCTACATCAATGATACCCCTAATGCATTGCATTAAAGCACTGTAGACGACGACAAGAGAATGAAAAGACTGACAGAAGCTCAACGACACAACGCCATCGGCCGTTTACAAGGACGGGCATCACAGCATGATGTGGCAAAGCACTTCAGCATGTCCAGACAGACAACCTCAAACCTATGGACCTGATACAAAAATACGCCAGGATCGCCTCATCCGGTTGAGACATTTTCGTTCAAACACCACGGCCGCATCATCCACAATCCAAATCCCTGGACTGCGCCGAATCTCCGACCAGACAGTGCGCAATTGACTATGGAAAGCCAGACTTTTTTGTCAGAAGACCAGTTCAACGTCACGTCGTTCCCTACATCAACGTCAACAGTTGATCTTTGGAGCATGACAATGCACGACCTCACGTTGCAGGTCTTCCTCCAGCAACGTTCAGTTGTTACCTTGGCCTTCTCGATCACCGGATTTGTCCCCCCATTCAACACCATGGGATTCTCTTGATCGACGCTTGCGCCAGCGTAATCCGCCACCTCAGACACTACAAGAACTGCACACAGCACTTCAGCAAGAGTATCAAAACATTCCTCAAGACAGCATTCGGCATCTCCTTTCTTCTATGGGTCACCGCTGCCGAGCTGTTATCCATGCTTATGGCGGTCACACCAGATACTGACATTTTACTCTCATAAAGTGGCTTTAATAGCCCTCTGTGATATTACCAAACACTTTCTGGATAATCATGTTTTGGAAATTTGTAAAGTGATGATTTTACTGTAACTGAGCAATAATGTCATCTTTGAATCAGTTATATGCACTCAATAAACTCCAAAACACCATGTCAAGTTTCTTTTTTTAAGAGTATTTGTCAGCATGAGCATCCACAAACCCACAGGTTACAACATTACCGTTCTGCAGAAGGTGGGGAGTGTCCAAGGAACTACTAAGAAAATAGTCAAGGTTTCTTGTGCACTTGTAAGGGGATCAAATAGAAGAGTTCAAAGTACTGGAAAGGTTGCATTAGAGGGCAGCTGGTATGGCTTTAGGAACAATTTTTCTGTCTGCATAAACATATTTTGCTGAATATGTTCTTGGTGCTAAAACTGCAATGCTGTCAAAAGACAATAGACCTACCTGGGAAGCATTCGATGTGGGAGTCGAGAAACACTAGTGTCGGACCAGTGGCCAGTTCATATCCGACCAACCTCGCTCTTATTAGACCTTGATGCTTCTTCATCCGGACAAGTTTGGTTTTCCCAAGTTTTGACATGTACTTTTTTAAAGGGTTCTTCAGGTGTTCTGAGGGACAGCGGGAATTTCAAATTAAATAAACGTATCGTTAGTACTAACAGCTTTTAAGCCCTTCCACATCTGATTTCATTTACATCCCGTTTCGTAACAGCGGACAGAACTGATACAGTGAAACTGTTATGATCTGTAGCGATATGTATGATCATTTATCTTTAAATATAATCCACTGACAACGCGAACGAGCTATAAACAGGTTTGGTGATTGCTCTAGTACCTTGAGTTGAGGCATCGTCAACGAGAATTATCTCCCTTATGAGATGTCCTGGTGAGCGGTCAAGGACACTGTGGACAGATCTGAGGAGAGTGGACCAAGCCTCGTTATGGAAACAGATGATGACACTAGCTGGAGGTAGGTCGGCCGGATACACACGTGACTTGCATCTGTGAAAACAAGCCTATTTCAAATACGTAATATTATGAAAGGAACGGTTGTAATCCGAAAACATACGCATAGCAAAACATGACACACCTTTTGAGCTACAATAAATAACATCAAGAATACTCATTAAGCATGTTTAGAACACATACTAATATGATGTGCCTCCACACTACAACGGCGTAAAACGGCAAAAGGTGGTGACGTGTTGTATTACAGAACTTAACTGACGACACAAAGTTGTCATTAAAAAACATCTAGAATGTCCAATATGCAAATTCCAAATACCATTAAGGCTTGATTTTGTATTCAAACTGAATGCGAGTATAATCTCTACTATCCGCATTGAAATTCTACTTTCTACATAATCTCCAATAAACAAGGGCCGTTAGGTAGCCTAATGGTTAGTGCGTCCGCTCGTCATGACGATGACCCGGGTGCGATTCCCCATATGATTACAATGTGAGAATCTCATTTCTGGTGCCCCCGTGATGTTGCTGGAATTGCTAAAAGAGGCGTAAAACCACACTCACGCATCCCCATCCTATTAACAATTCCCTCTACCCAAATTGCCCCGGTGCCACCATGTAATGCGTCTCTATTCGTTGTGTAATTACACGTTGTATACATACTCATCCAGCCTACGGTCTGGCAGACGCCGATGCACAGAGATCCGGTCGCTCACCATCTGGTCGAATCTGTTCCTCCTCACCCCTTCTCTCCACTGCAGCATCTCTTCATTCTTGGGCGGGTACCTGAACGCAACACCCCACTCTCCTACAAACCAATGTCGCAGTATGTAAGTTTGGGTAGTAGTAAATATATTGCCTGTATCTACCCATGAAGATCCGGGTTAGAATTGGTCTTCACCAACCCATGCTTGTTGTAGAAGGCGACTAACGGGATCAGGTGGTCAGGCCCAGCACACCAACCAACCAACCAACCTACCTAGCTGTATCACAACAATAAAGCAAAATTACATTTTATTTTGTTTTTATTAATGAGCAGGTGAGCGAGCTGGATGTAGTCTCAGGTTGACCAGTATTTCGGCTTTAGATCGGCCTGTCAACTTAATAAGGTAGGAAAGCAGAAATGAAATGCGTCTGACGTTGGTGAAACCCACGAGTAAAGGTATATGGTGATGACTGAAACTGGGAAGTAGTCATGGATAATTGGATCCCCGCGTTCCCAGGGGGAGCAACTCTGCACAGCGAAACAGAAATAAAGACATCAACCATACACTCACTTTAATATTGAAATGTCATCATATTTCAAAGCTTAAACACTTTCACTCTGGTTTGTTGTCGTCGGATACGCTCAAAGGAAACTCCAATATTTCGAATTATTGATACATCACTGCCTTATGGTGATGTTTATGTAATAATGAGTTTGTTTTGTGCATATCACTGCACAAGTGTTTTCTTACAGGTATGTTAGATGTTATGCACATATGCACTCCCTTGTTGTAAAGTGAGAACACCCCACTGAATAAACAGAATACGCGTTTATCCTGATAAACAGCTATGGATGTGTAATCACTAAACAAAACAAATAAATCAACGGAGAAATTATAAACCAACCAATATTCTTAAATATTTGTAGAAAGCGGAAATGTTAAAAGGAGGATAGCCATTATGAATATTTTACCCATAACGACAGGTACTTGAATATTTGTTGTAAATGTAAGCGTTAAAATGAGGATAGCCGTTATGAATATTTTACCCATAGTGATAGGTACTTGAATAATCGTTGTAAATGTAAGCGTTAAAATGAGAATAGCCATTATGAACATTTCACCCATAGCGATTCATAGATACTTGAATACTTTGTGGTAAATGTAAGCGTCAAGACGAGGATAGCCGTTATGAACATTTCTACCAGGCTGCTTGTTGTTTTACAGCTGTAAATATGTTGCCCCCTTCCCCTGTCTTACCTGGACCATCCTCCGGACTGTACTCCACAAACGGTGGATATGTTTCATTACTGTCCTCTCCTCCGTACTCCTCCACGTAATACTCCACTTTGTACGTGTTCTGTGTCTGTTGTCCACGTTGCTCCGCCGCCTTCTCCGGGTATAAATCCTTCTGAATATGTGTTACACCTGAGGTTATCTCATTCTGGTGAATATCGCCAGTTTGCCGGAGTAGATGGCTACTATGATAGTTCCTTTTAACACCATCCCTATGAACCATTTTCCCGTGAAAATATGACGTCTTGTCCAGTCCAGTTTTCAAAAACATTCCTGCTGCATATAAACACACCAACAAAATAATAGCAAAATCATTTTAGGTGACAGTGGACGTAGCCGCATCGTGGTGTACTGTAATGATGAAGTGGTAACCGATGTAGACGTTCACGACATTGAACCACTGAAGCAAAAAAATATATATCTCGGTAATTTTCCAACAGCACAGAAAAACGATCCTGGTGAATGCAGGATCAACGTGGAAGGATTGTACTACAACAGATTGTGAAGAAATGGAAGGCAGATGTCAGCATTTATTGCACAGGTAACTCGCTCAAGCACTATACCAATTATTGATTCTTTACATGAACTTACCTTCTGTCACCTTGGATCTCATATATAACGATTACGATGCAAATTCGTTTGATCAGACCTGTTCCGATCACTGAAAACAATTTAAATTGGTATAGTAGGTTGAAGAACTTAAACACTGTGTGTCTAATGAAGCAAACTCACTTACGGCAGTTCAACGAACAATAACGTCCCTCGCTATGAGCGGGTGGGGACATCGAGGAAAACGCTGATGTCGTCTAGACCGATTTCATGTATTCGGAGGTTCCGTCTCTGAGGCATACCAGAAACCTATGAGCACAATTTCGCGACAGCCATGTCACAACAATAACACGACACTAAAGAACAGTATTTCCTCAATTTAAACATGCTAGGAACTTATGATATGATACGTATAACGTATAATTCGAGGCCCCATATGTCCAACGTTTGAAATGTAGGTGTCATTTTGCCTCCAAATCTGAATTTGTTACACGGGTCATGAAATAAAAGAGGATCTGAACAATTGTGACAGAGATCTGTAAATATGGCCATCTTTTTTAGATACATGTGAAATCATGGTAATTGTTGTTTGAATACCCTTTAAAATATGCTACGGTTTAGATTAAGCCTATGTTTCATACTCTCCTAATTTTCGGTCACAGGTAAATGAATTATTTTCACATTGACAGAAATTAGCATATCAAGTATTCCCAGAAATAATTAAGAAAGTGGTTTCGGCTGATATAAAATAAATGTATATAAACTATAGAAGTTTTACTTTAACGAATATGTTGAGATATGATTCTTTTACAGTCTAAGTGTCTTGTCAGTACTTTATGAGACCTCCTTGCCCTGCAATACACGACTGAATGCGCCTAGGTACACAACCGAACAAAGTTTGTGAAATCGTGTGACACCGTATCCCAATATTCGAATATTTCGTTGTCCCTTTTGGTTTATTCTGTCCTTCATTAGTCCCCACACATTCTCAGTAGCTGAGCCAGTCTGAAACCTGAACATTTTCGTCCGACAACCACTGTTTTGTGTAGCCCGCAGTGTGGTTTGCGTTATCATGCTGGGGATCCAATTATCTTCATACACTTCGGTCCGTTCGAAGCAGGTGGCCATTTAAGATGTCAGCATATCGTTCCCTCGTCAAACTTTCAGTGAACATACACAACGGCGTCACTCCATGTGATGATATTCCACCCCACATGTGAAATTGCGGGCTATGTTTTGGGCGTTTCACGTTTTCTTTTGTCCAATTTTCACACAGTTCGGAAAAAAACCGAAAGAACTTTAATCAGGAAAGAAAACATTATCCCAATCTTGATTTTCGTGAGCCCGACACCATTTTAAAGGTCCGTCTTTTTGTGCATCTTTCATCAATGGTGAGAGAATTCCGCGCCTTTTCACCCACTTAAGACTTTGTAATTCTTGTGATGTGTAAGGGTTTCATTACATACCTGAGGACTTCCTCAATTAATCATCTCATTTCTGATATTCTCAACGCTTTTCAATTTTCCCCTACTCACAATCTGACCAAGTCGTCGGCGATCCGTAGTACTGAACTTCGTTGGCCTCCGTGCCCCTGTCTAGTGCTCAATCCCAACTCAATACCGCCCCACATTTAGACAGTTATGTGTTTTACCCCACTTTGTTTTTGGTTTGTCTAATGAAAACTAATTATTGTAGTAATAATATGAACATTATAAAACTGTTCAAATTTTCACTCTTGATATCCAGAATGATACACCTGTTTTAAGGCATGAGAGCATTTGACACTTTACATATATACAAATGTTTCCGCACCTAATTAAACTGTCCATAATTCCAACCCCAGTAAATTTCAGCACCTATTACAGTTGATAGGAATGGTTTGGAAGTACTCTAAGATCAAGCATTTACTTGGTCATTGACTTTGGAATAAATACTTGGACATTAAAGCCTGTCTTAAAATCCAGTCATAGCATGCATGGAAAAAGGTGCTTGTTCATACGGAATATACGCCGAGCATATGTTTCAAGGGTGTAACTTCATATAAAATAAAATAAGTTACGAAATATCAGAAAACATACGCAAATTCGACCATAGCGTGTATTTCCTACTACATTTGCGTTTGTTGCAATGATGTAAAATCCGGCCTTTGGAACCGTGTAGAGCAATTCAGTGATTTAATGACAAACATGACAACCTCACATTCAGTAAACTTTTACACTCCAAATCATCATGCCAAACGTGTCCGCCTCGCCTTCAGTAAACCATTGTAGTTCAACTCATCATGACAAACGTGTCCGCCTCGCCTTCGGTAAACCATTGTAGTTGATCATATCAAACGTGTCAGATTCCCCTTCAGTAAACCATTGAAGTTCAATTGATCATATCAAACGTGACAGCCTCACAGTAAGTCATTGCAGTTGCTGATTAAAAGCACCGCAGTCGGGGGGCGCGGGGGGCGAGCTGTCTAAGGCGCCAGGCGCCAGGCGAGCTTCGAGGTGTCGGGATCGATCCCACCTGTGACCGGGTGTGATAAAACCTTGGAGTCAACTTTGTGTGCAGACTCTTTCAGTGTTGTCACAACCCCTAGTGTACAGTACACAACCCTGTGCACTTAAACGAACCCACGAATCCGTTGGTAGATGACCAGATGGTGGCCACCTGAATACGTGCAAACACCTAGTTGCGGGTACAACAACGTGCAGTAAACTTGGACAAAGTGCTGTGACTTTGTGTCCCAGTCGACACAGCTGTGAATGGGTACCTCGTTAGAATGTGAAAACCACATAACTCGGTGCGCCTAGTAGGCAGCAATGGTTGTATGATCCCCAGGGAGTTGAGATTGAAAATACAATGTGCCGTTGTGATGGACATCCAATGATCGAGGGAAAACAAAGCGCCTTTGAGCAGTTGTACTGGATATCGGCGCTATACAAATGTTTGTATGTATGTAATTACAGTATATAGTGCTGCACCTCTGGTGCCCAGAAGGAAAGGGATTGCTATATATGTAAATCCTATTGAAAGTGGTAAAGAAGTAAAAAAAAAGAAGCTTTATTAAAGGTCTCAGTTCCAACTGCTTCAGTGACATATCATGTAAAGTCTTAATAACAATATATATGCGTGCGTCCGAGCGTGCGTGCGTGTGTATAACACACGTCACTACGTTAGAATAAGTCGGACTACAACACTAAACTGGTTACTTGTACATATTGTATGTGACATTGGCGCATTTGTCAAAAGGAGCATAATCTATTATATCGCATGCGACACAGTGTTTGTGAACTAAATATTTATATGGGTTATGTTGGTTATACAACAGAGGGGCGTTATATGATCCCAGTAACTGCATAGTCTGAAGGGTTCGTGACATCAATATATGTTGTTCAGTGTTCGATTTCAAACCATATGTTACCACCCTGAGATCGTCTATTTCTTTTTCATCTCATCGATTCTCATTGAAATACGTTTCCCAGACAACGGATCTGATGATACAAACAGAGACCTAAAGTCCTCAGACCCGACACGGGCAAACAGACGCATAAACGGGTCACTGCCAAGCCAGCATGGTGTCACAACAGACAGGAGTCTCGACTCACTCTCCTTGTCAACCATCACCGTCAGTCGAGTCGACCCATCTCCAAGCCCCAGGTATATTTTCGTCATGTGACTTCCGCTCTTTACCTTAAGCTCTAGTTCGGTGTCTGTAACAGCTACAACAACCGTATCAATGTCAAGGCCAGATGATCCCTGTCCGTCTTCAGGACTCGTCAAGTAGAACTTAGGTTGGGCATAGACTGGATGGTAGGGGAAAAGACGTAAATGACCGTCTTGGTAGAAAATCAGTTTCGGTGACATTTGTCCAAAAGATGGAACAGGGACTGAAATGACAATGACTGATACTTCAGTGTCTTTCTCGTCAATTACAACCCACATATTCTTTCCTCGACCAGAAAACCCTTCGATGAGAACAGATGGACGTGATTCTGTAAAATCGGGTGTGTTGCTCAGGGCAAAACTTGGGTGCACTGGGGCGATGATGGATGTTCTGTGTAATGTAGAGACATAAAGTATGTTCGTGTCTCTCGAGGTAACAAGGAACTTGGCCATCTCTTCCTGGCAAACAAACTTGGTGGCTCGGCGAAGAGAAATTACTCCAGAATCACCCTGGAATACGACAGTCTCAGATCGAACAGGAACAGCAGCTGTCGTTGAAACTGAAGACGATGTTGGAGTCATGGTCGTCGCGGTATCAGTGGTGGTAGCGTTGTCAGCTGTGTCTGGTCTGTCTGCAAGATGACATCACACTTCATTAAATTGTGATTAATTATCGTGAATCAGCAATCAATTTTAAAACCATATAACAACGTGTGTTTAGATACAACACTGTGTCAGGTTAAAACAACACTCCAGAGTCCTGCTAAGAAATGTCGGGTGGTTGTGCTCTGCGAAGTGTTAAAGCAGTGAATCTTCAGGTTGTTGATAGCTCAACAGTAAGGATATAATGTATTGTCAATTAGATGACGGTTATGCCACCGAAATTTCACAATTGTAAAGTTGTGCTCCTAACGCTACTAACTACCATACATTATATTACATTGCCTTCGTCAAAATTATGGTACTTCAAAATTCCTTTCGTGGCAGCCATGATTTCAAACGAATCGATGTTGATTCAGGTTTAAAAACACATGTTTTCTCAGACATCAGCTCGTCATGTTACAATCAAGAATTCTCTCGGACAACATAAATATAGTTTCAAATTTCATACTTATGAAACATAGTATGCTATCAATAAAATGAAATGTTTGGCAACTGACAATGGATTAAACTGAGGTGTTCAATTTCCCCGTCACCTGTTCTTCCTCGATTACGTACAGTGCAACTTATTGACCCGTGAATATCCTGATTAGAATTGATCGTTAGCAACCCATACTTGTCGTAAGAGGGGTCTAACGTGATTAGGCGATCAGGCTCGCAAACTTGGTTGATCATTGACATCGAAATCGAGTTGCTTATGATATCAATCACTGGATTGTCTGTTCCGGACTCCGGATTATTTACTGACCGCTGGGATATTACTGAACGCAGCGTTAAAGAACAAGGAACAAACAAACCAACATACGTACTACCGGAGACAAACGTTCCCCGATAAGTTTCGATTGCATGCACATTACGACAGCCCTGCCGTCGCGTGATGTCTTTAAAGAGTGGTCCACGCGACTGTATACCATGCTATCTGTTGTCTAGTAAATGACCGAGAAAGCATTCGACTCTACATGCAAACGAATATTCAAGTAGTTTATGACCTTAACTCACCTTTACGACTGCATAGGTAAGACGCAGTATGCGTTGCCTCTTGTGTCTCTGTCTCCTTGCACAAAATCTCGTCCACTGAGACTTTGTTGCTGAACTCAAGAGTCAGATAGTCAAGCTCCAAACCATATGGGTCTGTGGAAAGAGCTCTTATGATCAGGGTAAATCTTCCATCATCTATTGTCTGTCTTTCCCCGACGGTGCGGCTTTTGTGAAATATGTTCCAATCATAGCCAAAGTTTGTCTCATTGTTTGTGATAATGCTGTCAAGTGTTTTTCCATCTGCTATAATTGAGATGATGTCACTTGGTCCATCATTTGAATAAGTTAGGTGTTTGACAGATACTTCATGTCTCCCAGTAACGCACAAGTCGATGTGTAAACTTTCACCTTCATACAGCAACACGGTCTTCTGATTTGACGCGTTAGAACGAGGTTTTATACGACAACTGGGATACTTCTGAGCAACAGCAAATTCTTCGAACTCAAAAGTTAAGATGTCCGTCCCATCAGTGAGGAACACAAACCATGTCAATACATGAAATATTGTTACCATCCACATCGTGCTGTAATATTGCATGTAATATTATACGGACTTTATAACTGACCCCTTCTCCCCAAGTCATCAGATATCCGTCCTCACTCCTATCATTACTCTTGAGTAACCAATCTAACGGTTTGGATGGTCGAAATTTTCGTCCAATGAATTGAACTGCTGACATGTGTTACAATGTTCAGAAAATAGGTTGTATCCTTGTCTGGTTAACCACGAGCTTGTATTACATCCTACCACCGCATACTCAACATAACATAGCAAGTCCGTATTTCCGCCAATCATTAACTGACTCGACTGTCCGGCTGCCAGTCAAGATTGTAGAAACACTGTATAGAAATGTTGTCGGGACGTTGACGTCTACAGCTCAACAGATATAGAGGACCATCCAGATGATCAACTGGCACATTTTCACAAAAACGTTTAAAAGTGTGTATGTGATATATAGTATGATTCTTTGAGACTACATTACACGTAGAAGCAAATTTCATTAATGCTTTAAAAGCGACTTTGAACCCCATTTCATAACCACAAGGGCTGTGATATGGCGATCACACTACTCAGATTTGGGTTCGATTCTCCATTAGTGTAGAATGTGTGAAGCCCAGTTCTGGTGTCCTCCGCCGTTATACTGCTTGATTATCTCTAAAAGCGGTGACGCTGATGCTCACTCACACACTCAGGAGGGCAAAGAGGGCAAATGTTTTGAATTCACAGCATGATACCTTGTGTGGCCTGTGGAATGCGATTCATTATGGACGTCCCCACATCCTCAGACAAGAAATGTTTCTAACCATTAGGAAATGTTGACCGAGGCTCGGAAGCATGTCTTTAATATATTAATTGATGTCAATAAAAAGAGAATGCATATGCTATCGAATCATAATGATGAAATCTTTTCATGTGCTGTATTTGTTCATTGAAATTATACAATCCCTTTCTTCTACACTTACTAGCCCTCCCAACCGTCAACCCACGCCCACCATTATCCGCACAAACCACAAATGCACCCACGCACGCACACACACACACACACAAACGCACACAAACGCACACACACAGACGCACGCGCGCACCTTCCTCCCCGATACGGTCGTTATAGAGAAGTTGAACTAAATAGAAGACACTGAGGACAGTGATGCTTGTAAACAGCTGTTACGGTGTGTTAGCATACAGTCCGGTACAATAGGAAGTCCGTGATATTTCAGTGGAACAGGACCCTGCTACAACAATATCCGCGTTTACAGGATGAGATGAATAGTACAGAATCGATGTCCCTGTAGGTCGGTTTATGGTAAGGATTCATATTTGAATTCATCTGAATGTCACTCATGTCAAGTGTAACTGGAGTGAGTGAGTATTGTTTTACGCCACACTTAGCAATATTCCAGAAATATCACGGCGGGGGACACCATGTGGGGAACTGAACCCGGGTTTGGGGCGTGACGAGCGAACGCTTTAACCATTAAGCGACCCCACCAACTCTGGACGTAATGAAACAGACAGTTGAAAAAACTATTTCAATCTAGGTTTGTAGTATGACATTTCTTTAATATATCTTCTCACGATGTTTATTTCTAAAAGGGGCGGTGGGGTAGCCTATCCCTATCCATTTAATGCAATATTTGTGTTCCAAATGAAACTGGGGCGGTGGGGTAGTCTAGTGGTTAAATCGTTCGCTCGTCACGCCGAAGGCCCGGGTTCGATTCCCCACATGGGTACAACTTGTGAAGCCCATTTCTGGTGTCCCCCCGCCGTGATATTGCTGGAATATTGCTTAACAACGGCGTAAACCCATACTCAGTCAGTAAGTCAGTCATTTCTAAAAATCCGGGTTAAAATTTATCTTCACCAAAACGTGCGTGCATTAGGTCGGGGAAACATAGCACGCACTTGACTATCTGTGATCTGTAGATCCATTATGTCTCCTCATACAAAATGTATATCCATGTCTTGCATGTGAAAAGTCGATTATAATCTCTACAGGATTGTTACCAACTAACCAGAAATATATGCCAACGAAATGCAATCACGTGTGTTGTTAATCCCGTGTGTAAGCCTAAAATGTGTGTAGATTAAACGTGTGTGTATGTGAACCTGTGTATGCGAACCTGTGTGTATGTGAACCTGTGTGTATGTGAAGTTGTGTGCATGTGAAGCTCTGTGTATGTGAAGCTGTGTGCATGTGAAGCTGTGTGCATGTGAAGCTGTGTGCATGTGAACCTGTGTGTATGTGAAACTATATATGTGAACCTGTGTATAGGTGAACCTGTGTATAGGTGAAACTGTGTATAGGTGAAACTGTGTATAGGTGAAACTGTGTGTAGGTGAAACTGTGTATAGGTGAAACTGTGTATAGGTGAAACTGTGTATAGGTGAAACTGTGTATAGGTGAAACTGTGTGTAGATAAACCTATGTGTAGGTGATCTATTATTTGCGTTACTCTTTTGTCAAAACATCCAAATCCTATCTACACCTATATTTCCTGTGTATATGGTATACCAAGCATGGATTATAGTGGTCACATTAAGATACATGCTGGATGGTTTGTTGTTAAAGGCCGCACTCAGCAATATTCGGGCTGCATGGCGGCGGTCTGTAAATAATCTGGATCACTCAGTTCAGTAATCAATAGCATGAGCATCGATCTACGAAACTGGGATACGGTACCATGTGTCAACCAAGTCAGCTTGATCGAACTCTCGAACACTAACCTGATAACAGACAAGAGGGTATAGCTTTACAGCAACTTGTGAGCGGAAACTTAGATGTGCGAGACTGGGACAGCCAATCAGATTAAACGATCAATCAGCACATGCCACAGGACGTTAGAACCAGGAGTTGCCTCCCCTTTACCATTACGAAGCTGCCACTAAGCAATTCCGAGTAATTTTCCATATCTACGTCATAGTAGCCACGGGGTGAACGGTCTTCACTAGTGAATTTACATAACAGAACAGTCAATATTGTTCACCGCCGAATTAGGTTTTCTATTAGTGAGTATAATTCGATCACGTGTTACATTTCATTTTGCTGTCTATTTGTGTCGAGTTACACAATAGTGTCATTTTCATGCTTTGCTAGCATAATTTTTAATCTATAGGATAGTTAAAAAGAAATTAACTGTTTTCATACACATACGCACAGTCGCATAAGCATGCCCGTACATACACACATTTGCAGACAGAGAGGTATTGTTCTATCGCCATATCGCTTCATAGCCATGTCACCAACTCGTGTCGTGCACTCGCCAGTTCGTGTCGTGCCGGCGCTATGTTGTTCCGTGTTATCGTTATTTCTTTATAGGCTAATTAACACAGTCGCTAGGCTGCTTCGTTCTCTCGCCCATGGTCCCTAGTATGGTGATCTACCTTTAGCTGCTGGCGATCTATAGCCCATTGTTACATTGCATTGTCCAAAACTAATTTTCTACTATTAAAGATATATGCTAGCTAGTTTTAACTCATTTTGTGATAATCTAGTGGTTTTACTCTCCTTCGTTGACAGGGTTTTATATATTATCTGTATGTATTATAAATTTAGAACTAGTTTTAGTCACGATATGGCTGAAATATTGCCGATGTGACTTTAAATCTTAACTCACTCACTCGTTCTCTGGTTATGTCACCATATGGCTGTATTTGTCATGGCGATATGGCGATAGTCCTGATCAACATCAATATGTAATCGAAGAAAAATGAAAACACTCGAAACAAGGAGAAAATACTCTAAACCAAGGAGAAAATACTCTAAAACAAGGAGAAAATACTCGAAACGTCATCTTTGAAAGGAATCTTAAAACAACGAGAAAGTACTCGAAGCAACGAGAAAATGCTCGAAATTTCATGTTTTGAAACAAATTTGAACTAACGAGAAAATACACAGAGCAACGAGAAAATAATCGAACTAACAATAAAAATAATAGAATTAACGACAATATAATTGACATTTCAAAATTTTGAAAGACGGGAGAATAGAGAGTAACGACTGAATACTCGAATCAACAAGAAAACACTCGAAGTAACGACAAAATAATTGAAATTGCAGGAAAATGAAGATACAGTTTTATTGATGCGCCACATGTTTGCATGAGATCTTTCTAGTGGCCTTGTGTGATGGTGTTTCGCTGGTTTGAATGGTTGTCCTTCAAATTATTGATAAACTTAGATCACATACAATTTATATGACATGGTGACAGGCTTTAGTATATATCCGCGATGACATAAATGTAGCCATGTAAAAAATTATTCAGTGTCTAATGTCTTAGGGAAGGATATAATATCTTAAATTCAATAGTTCAACTTCACGTCTGTTTCCCAGGCTTAAACATAAACCCAACATTTGTTGGGTGTTAACGTTATCGTGTTAGTATCAACTAAAATGAGCACGTAACATTTTCGATAGAAACTTCCTTCTGCACTATCAGAAACACAACAGCAGTAAACATTGATGAGATAGAATTTCAATTAGACGCAAAAACATCTGATAAAATGCTTTAATAAACTCTTTGGAAAATATGTGTAAATGTCAAGGCACATTATCTAAAGTGAATGTTCGATAGTGACGTAGAGGAAATGTGATGACTTCAACTTCTCAATAAATCCACTCCTCTTTGTAAAAGTGACAGTAAACCTTTTGAGTATTATACCCATACACACATTACCAGTACTTTAAGGGGAAGAACCACAGCGGAAGTCTGTCTCAGGACCCTGGACTCAAAGGTATAGAATCGAACAGCTTCTGAACAAGAGGTGTTGTGTGGTCCTTGGCATAAAGTCCAGGTCACAAATTAGTTGAAGTGGTCGCGGACAATCCTTGGATGGGTGACCGTGTTTGGGAGCTTGACTCCTGAGAGTTTCTAGGCCTTCAGTCCTGCCCCACAGCGAAGCACACGTGATACATGTGATCTCATGAATTGCCTTTGTTCACCCAGCAGTGAATGGGTACCCGGTGTGGTAAGTCATATGACTGTCAACCTTCTAGCGCCTTACAGGCAGCTTGGGTTATCCGGGGTACTAATGTCTTAGAGCCTTGAGCATTGGCAGATGCCTGGAAACAGGCGCTTTGTGAATAACATTATTTTTTAATCATTAGTTAGTGGGTATGGTTTTACGCCGCTTTTGACAATATTCCTGCAATATAAGACACATTGTACCTATGTGCCCAATCGAACCCGGGTTTTCGGCGTGACGAGCGAACGCTTTAACCACTAGGCTAAACTCATTCATCTTCGTGATTGTCTGAGACCTTTTCTTTTCTGAGACCTTTCCGTTCATTTTCGTAACGTCTCAGCCATAACTCGACAGATTAACACATAGTGTGACAGGCTGGCTGTCGGGCAGACAATGGGAAGGTCGCGAGTTGGGTCCCAAAACAGCCTTTCTGTCTCAGTAACGTGTGATCTATAGTGAAGATCGTTTTGACGTGAAATGTTGGTGCTGCATTCTGAAGGTTCTTCGTCTAAAGACGAACGGTGGATATGGACTCTGTCTAACCCAGATCACCATGGGTTGAAATTATTTTATGCCAAGATGGATTCCTGACGGTAGTTGAAATTCTAACTATTACACCTTCCCCGCACAAGAAGAACTTACACTTGACCCGAGTGCATGTTTTGCTAAGAAGAGGAAATGGATCTACATGCATAGCTGTCGCCTGTCTCTGCATGCATTTAAATATTACATTATTATTAAAAGTGTATCAACACAAGCACTGCTACAAATAAGGGCACCGCAGTCATGAACGGCATATGCAGTGTGAAGCACATATAGACATGCTGTTCCATTTAAATCGGATTTAGTCGTAATGACAATAGTGACATGTAAATATTATACCATGAGCTATGCGATCCCAATTCGTCAGCTGCGGTAAATAGGATCACGTGAGATCATAGGGTATTGGGCGTTCTACCAAGAAAAGGTCTGTGGAATGTCCATTCACAACACGTTGCAATCATTGAAAAAGCGCTCTGAGACCAGTGATGAAAATTTATTATGTCTGAGACGCAATGTACATTTATGTAAAATCATTGACATATAACACCTATGAAAATCTCTGACAGAATATGTCTTTCCTCCACACGCCATTTCCCTCTCTCTCTTTTTCTCTATCTCTCCCTCTCTCTCTTTCTCTCTCTCTCTCGCTCTCACGCATACACGCGCGCACGTACACATACACACACACATCTTACTCTTAACACACACACACACACACACACACACACACACACACACACACATTGACACTTGGAAACTGTTATTTACGTTTCTCATCCATGTTTCTTGGGCAGTATCCACTGTTGCCATGACGTCCCAGTACACGTCTCCATTTTTAGTTTGAAGTCCACGCCCATTTGGAGGCACAGTTTTGTAGGATTGTGAACAAGAGTTTGGTTCTGAAATTTGAACAAACACACTAATTATTTGTATTCATGTTATGACTTACATAAATGTTCCATCCTAAATTGGTCAAACCTACACATGATGGTAATTAAATTTTCATATGCATTTCAGGTCATTCTCCTATGAGACAGCAATATATGGAAAGGTAGGTACGGATGTACTGGTTCATTGATATACAGGGTCACTGCGTGAAATTTTTAAACGTGTACGTGAGTAAATAACATTTTTTACTGCTACAGTTATTCCATTATTCCAGGCATTTAACTGGGGCCCGCATATTTCCCAGTCTATGCAGGTACAGACAGTGCTGTCTGTCTAGATTTTGACGATGAAAACTTTGGACCATGCGGTGATGGGAAGATAAATTTTCTCAAGCACTGTTTTCACATCTGGCGTAACTTGAAATGCATTTTGTTTCAGTGTGTGAGTGAGTATGGGTTTAAGCCGCTTAAAATATCAATATCACGGCAGGTGACACCAGAAAAGGGATTCACACATTGTACCAATCTGGGGAGTCGATCCCCGGTCTTCGTCGTGACGAGCGAGCGCTTTAACCATGAGGCTACACCACCGTCCCCGTTGTGTTTCAGGAAAACTTACCTCGTATGTCATAGAGATATTATTTTTCGGCATGACATTCTGAGTACAAATATCATAGCTGTTATAACAGAGACGCCTTTTTCTTATCGTCATTTCTTCGTCAAAACCTACCTGCACCATTGAAACTGAGATGCGATCTGTAACGAGTGTGATTGAGTGCGTGAATGAGGTTTTACGCCGCTTTTGCAATATTCTAACAATATGGCGGCGGGGTCCGTTTTAACAGAAAAAAACGAGGGTGATTTAATGGTGACGTGTTGACTAACGTGATACTTTGACAGTGAATCAGCCAAGTTACCCTCCCCGTCCACTCCATTAATTTAGCTGACTCTCACACCCGTCAATAGACTACCAATCAGCTTCTTTCTCGTCAACGTTTTTTTTTCTTACAAAAAGTATGCCTGGGGCATGAATCGTACAATTGACTCAGCTGTTGGAGAATATTTCTTATGATGATAGAAGACAACATGTCCCTCAAATTTTCAGGTACCAGAATTTAAATTCGGCTAGACTGACAAACCTGTTCGTGATAAATCCAGTAGGGCTTCACGTTGGTACATGCCCCTGCTTTAAGGACGAAGGATTCATGTTCGTAACACATCTTAAACCGGTCATGTGTGATCACTCCATCTTCGTGGATGAGCCATCTCTGCAAGGAAATATGTAGTGTTGAGTGAGTGAGTTTAGTCTTACGCCACTTTTAGCAAGCAATATTCCAGCAGCATCACCGCGGGCGACACCAGAAATATGTCTCACACGCTGTAGTGAGTGAGAGAGTTTAGTTTTACGCCGCACGCAGCAATATGACAGCTATATGACGGTTGTCTGTAAATAATAGAGTCTGATCAGACAATCCAGTGATCAAGAGCTTGAGCATCAATGTACGCAATTGGGATACGATGACATGTGTCAACCAAGTCAGCGAGTCTGACCACCCGATCCCGTTACTCACCTCTTACGCCGCCATATAGCTGGAATATTGCTGAGTGCGGCGTAAAGCTAAACTCACTCACTCACTCAGCTCTTAGGACAAGCACGGGTTACTGAAGATCAATTCTAAACCGGATCTTCATGGGTCCCACACAATGTACTGTGGTTGGGTGGGGGGATCAATGACTGTTTACAGGTAGCATGAACATAGAGACAAAGCATGACTGTTTACGGGTAGCATGAACATAGAGAAAGCATGACTGTTTACAGGTAGCATGAACATAGAGACAAAGCATGACTGTTTACGGGTAGCATGAACATACAGAAAACATGACTGTTTACAGGTAGCATGAACAGAGACAAAGCATGACTGTTTACAGGTAGCATGAACATAGACAAAGCATGACTGTTTTCAGGTAGCAGTCGCACAGAGCTAGTGAGTGACGGAGTTTGAGTTTACGCCGCTTCTAGCAATATTCCACCGGGAATGGGCTTCACATGTACGCATGGTACCCATGTGTGGAATCGTACCTAGGTCTTTGGCGTGAGCATAGAGAAAGCGTGACTGTTTACAGCTAGGCATGCACAGGGAAATGCATGAGGACGTGGGTACGTGAAGGCCTTACCTGGTTGATTCCCTGCCCGTGGCAATTATACATGCCAGGCACCATGGTGTAGCCCTGGATGTCCATGCACATAGGTTTACTCGCGTGGCGTATCTACAACAAACGTCAAACACCTGTACGTGAGGCCATCAAAATATTGTTACTTTCTGAAATCAATTCATGAATGCTTTTGTACAATGCTTTGTAATGTACATTGTAATGTACAGTCAGGTCTCGAAAGACAATATTCCACTTATATCATAGTGTGTCTGTTTTATGTGGGAGGGAAGTCCGAAGTGGTGAAGGTCGTAAACGCATGCCATGTCGGTGAAACCCATGAGCTCAAGCATGGTGCAGACAATGCAGGAAACATAATCCGGAGGAGTCGGGATTCGAACCCATGATCATAGCTTTCAGGTATACCAAATTGTCTCCGTTACGACAGTAGGCGGCAATTTGGTCCCAGTCGAGACATCCTGAGACTGCAACGGCAACCTCATTAACTTTCCTCTAAGGACCTTGCCAGCCAGGTTAGTCACGGCTTCATCTTTAGCCTGTTCAGCTCTCAGGGTCTACTGACTGACTGACTGACTGAGTTTGGTTTTACGCCGCTTTTAGCAATATTCCAGCAACATCACGGCGGGGACACCAGAAATGGGCTTCACACATTGTACCCATGTGGGGATTCGAACCCGGGTCTTCTGGCGTGACGAGCCAACGCTTTAACCACTAGGTTACCCCACCGCCCCAGGGTCTACTGAACCATGAAATGACAATGAATTAAAAAATGAAACATTTTGAATTTGTTATGATGTTTTGAACAACAGTTAAACTGACACATTTTGATGGGCACAGTCAAACACCCTTGTGTGGAAGTTGAAGGGACCAACCTGAAAACTTCGACGTGCACACAACCGAAAAGTGATCACTTAGTAAGGAATACGCAGAGACCTAGCTTTTAATTATAGACAACGGTCATTTCCACACAACGTGTTCGCTTTGAGATAATACTACATTAACTGTGGATGTAAATTGGCTCACTCACCTCACCCGCGGCAAGTGAACGTTTCGGTATTGGGAGAGGAAAAACATTATCAAGATACCACCGGAAGTCATGGCAATGTAAGCTTTCTCGCAATTCCCTCCTCGCGGAAACATCGCCAAAGTCCTGAAAAAAATCAGTATGAGAGTGAATTGTGGTGCATTAAGGGAATACGGGGAAAACGGACCGCAGTGAAAACGGACCAAAAACAATTTGAGAAAACGGCCACCGCGTTAGAGAGAACGGCCGCCGAACCTAGAGAAACGGCCAACATAGTTGCACCAAGAGCAAAGGTTGTTATATTGATCCTAAATAACAGAGATTTACTTCATTGCGAATCAGCTTTTAAAAATTGATTGATTGATTTGTTAGTTTCGATATCCATGGCGGTTTCACCTTTGAAGATTTATTGGTTGTTTTGATAGTTACGATGAACGAACCAATTTGATTGATTGTAGATTTTACTGGTGAGATTAGTTCAAGATAGAGAAATATGATAATAAGGTAGTGTTAATATTGACGAGCGGATTCGTAGAAGATTTAATTACATCAAAGGTGAATTAAGAATTAAGATCATTTTAGCCAACCAAAAGTGCCATGACTATCTTGTCATTGTTGTTGACTTCGTAATAATAATGTTGATTTGGAAATGAATAAAAGCAAAATAAACTACACGTAGTTTTCTACTATATATACAGGCTGTGTGCTTTAGGCTTAGAGGCCTTTTTCTACAGCTGCGGTGGCCGTTTTCTAGAATTTTGTTGTGGCCGTTTTCGCCGGGGTCTGTTTTCACTATAACCCGTATTAAGCATTGACCATGAAAGAGATAGGGATCGTGATAGACACTGATGGAGCTACATTTGAGCCAATAAATGGTTGGAAGTGGCATTTGTCAGTCTGTCTACTGCCTTATGAAGATGAATCTGCTGAACTCGACATTTGGACCCATGCGTCGGTGCCTCCTCAACTTGGAATATAAGGCCTATTTTGGGTGAATCATAACAGTTGTTTTTCATAGTTGTACCTTATAGAAGACTGAACATTTTCATCTACTGCTACATGTCATCTACCGCTACTTTGACAAAGTTTCGAGAAGGACAGTAACTTCTATTAGGTGCTGTCTCACATTTTAAAGAATATACAATTTTATACATAATAGCAATGTCAAAATACCCGGGGACTGAAGGAAGAGAGTATGTCACATCCCTTTCTGCCCCAGTACAAATTATATCTAAAGCGGTGCTCAGTAATCTAATATATTTACAGGTGACTATCAGAATGGATTGACGTGTCGACGCTTGAGACCCCAGACGGCCATATGGCGCCATGTTTATGCGTTTCACGTCGATTATTTGAACCTACTCATTTGGGATACATGACTGGCGCAGGCGTACCCATTGATTTGCTTTCCATTACTTACTAGAATTAACATGACTATATTTTAGAATAGTAGCTAGGCACTTCCACGATCCACACAGACAACACCTTATTCGCCATAGCTTCTTCCTTATGTTACTACTACTCACAGCTTTTGGATAGGAAGCGTCGTAGAAGAGCTCTTTGTATTCGTCCATCCACACTTCGGCTACACGCATGGAGTTTCGGATGATCATGGCGCCAGAGTTTTCGAACATGATGGGTGTTGATGAGCGGAATATATGTCCCACCTGGGAGCAGGGGTGGTATTCTATAGTCCCGTTACACATCCACACCTGTAACATAATCATGAACTTGATACATTCCCCAATACATGCATACACGTCACAAAGTTCTAAACGCTTGTGAGTCACGGTGTTCAATGTTTTTAGTCGGACATATTATACTTCACCAAGCGGGAATTATATCACGTCCTCAGCAGTGTAGCAATTATTTGTTTAATAAGTCCATGAAGGCGTAGTGCTTTCGTGGACTAATTATCATAATGCATTCCAATCCAAACCAGCTGACAATTATCGACCCGTTATTATCCGGTTTAGAATTGATCTGTCGTATAAGGCAACACGCGGGGATGAGGCACGCTGACTTGGTTGACACATTAGATCGCATCCCAATTGTGTAGATCGATGCTCATGATGTTAATCACTAGATTGTTTATTCAGACTCGATTATTTACAGACATATAGCTGGAATATTGCTGAGTGCGGCGTTAAACAACATCCAAACCAAACCAAAAACAGCCGACCATCTATGAAGACATGCAACATCTTAAGGTTACCAATTTTCATGGTTACATCTTGCCCTTTAACCTCGTGAATATTGAGTTCGACACTTAAATAGAATAAAGACGAATAATGGTGTGATGTCTTTATGTCAGTGTCTCATATAACATCTTAACTCTTCCTGACCATGTCATATAAACCGTCCCTAATTCTAAGGTTAATATCTCACACAACGTTCTCGTTGTTACTGTAAATGTATCATGCAACTTACACTTTCACTTTTACTATCAATATCATGTAGACGTCTCACTTTTACTGAAAGTATTAGATAGATTTCTCACATATACTGACAATATCATATAGACGTCTCACTTTTACTGAAAGTATTAGATAGATTTCTCACATATACTGACAATTTCACATAGGTTTCTTACATGTCCTCTTTTTTTTGACAATATCTTCTGTAACATCCGCTTTTTATCCGATTTCTCAATGTAGAAAACAACATTCCCTACTTTCACGGACAATATCGCGTACAACATTTCCCTTGTAAATAACAATATCTCGATGCCTAGCACACACACACTGACACTTCATGATTTTACACTGATATGACGTCACACAGGAAGTGACAGTATCCGATTGTTACCTACGCCGACATGAGCTCCGTTATAATCTAGAATTTCGTCCCAGCACGTGTTTATGGTTACCATGACAGATTTACCTTGAACGACAACTCCACGTTCTCTTGTTGATTGCTACACTGACAGATTTACCTTGAACGACAACTCCACGTTCTCTTGTTGATTGCTACAGTGACAGATTTACCTTGAACGACAACTCCATGTTCTCATGTTGATTGCTACAGTGACAGATTTACTTGTTGATTGCTACAGTGACAGATTTACCTTGAACGACAACTCCACGTTCTCTTGTTGATTGCTACACTGACAGATTTACCTTGAACGACAACTCCACGTTCTCTTGTTGATTGCTACAGTGACAGATTTACCTTGAACGACAACTCCATGTTCTCTTTGTTGATTGCTACACTGACAGATTTATCTTGAACGACAACTCCATGTTCTCATGTTGATTGCTACAGTGACAGATTTACCTTGAACGACAGCTCCATGTTCTCGCCACCCCAGTACAACAGATCCGGGTCATACGTCCCCAGTGAAGTGAAAAAGGCCTTGTCGATGGCAAACAACCCACCAGGCATGGTAGACGATCTGGGAAATACACAGCCAGATTCAGGAACACACACAACACAAAGCTGAAATGGCCGACAATGAAAGCAAGCGGTGTTGTACCGAGTGAGTGAGTGAGTGAGTGAGTGAGTGAGTGAGTGAGTGAGTGAGAGTGAGTGAGTGAGTGAGTGAGTGAGTGAGTGAGTGAGTGAGTGAGTGAGTGAGTGAGTGAGTGAGTGAGTGAGTGAGTGAGTGAGTGAGTGAGTGAGTGAGTGAGTGAGTGAGTGAGTGGAGTGAGTGAGGAGTGAGGTGGAGTGAGTGAGTGAGTGAGTGAGTGAGAGGTGGAGTGAGGAGGAGTGAGTGGAGTGAGTGAGGAGGAGTGAGTGAGGGTGAGTGAGTGGTGAGTGAGTGAGTGAGTGGAGAGGAGTGAGTGAGTGAGTGAGTGAGTGAGTGAGTGAGTGAGTCTTCCATTGTCGGGGGTGCGTGTCGGTGTACCATGGTTCGCCATGGCCAGCTGTTAATGCTTCATGTACTGGCCTAGTCTATAGAATGGAACTGCCCTGTCTAACAAACCGGTAATGATAAGGCCACTGGCTCGCTCACTCTCATAGTCCTACACGGGCTGTTCTTTATACAAACCTTGCAGGGTCAGCATTATTCTTCCGTCTCTTCTTCTCTTTCTCTGGGATTGGTAGCCAATCAAATGAGAGATTTGTCCACCGAAAGTAACCAACTTGATCCATTTGAGCGGCAGAGGTGGAGAAGTCTTCCGTCTTTATAGGAAGCACATGGGGAAAAGGTACTGTTGTGGGGTCGTTGGCGATGCGGCTAAGTAACGGTTCCAGCCATCCTGAAGAAATGCAACCAATATACAGCTTCTCTCGACATTATTTATCAAGTTTCACATTTCACTTCCTTGTTATGTTTGGGTACTTTTATGATTTTTATAGTTCATGAAAAAGATGAACAACAGGTGAAGATACATATTTACCATTGATATTTTCATAACTGGGGTGTATGATAAGTTTTTAGTAAACAATAGGTGAAATCGTAGACTTCTCACTGATGAGTGAGTGAATGAGTGAGTTTAGTTTTACACCGCACTCAGCAACATTTTAGCTACATGGCGGCGGTCTGTAAATAATCGAGTCGGGACCAGACAATCCAGTGATCAACAGCATGAGCATCGATCTGCGCAATTTGGAACCGATAACAGGTGTCTCCTCACTGATGACATCCGTATTACATTTAGTGGTAGGCCATGTCGGCAAGATGCCGTCTTCCGTATATGCAACATTGTGTTCCACCGATTGTTTATCGTTATGTTTGATGGCTGTGAGTCGGTAAGCCTGCTGTGGTGTGTAGATAATAACGCCGCATGTCCTGTTGCGGAAGCTGGTATTTCTCTGTATGTTGCTGTTTGCGTTGAGATATGGTTCACTTGTAACATATGCATATTTGGGATTAAACCTTATCTTTAAGGCGTTCTGCACTTCAACTTCTTTGACAATTCTTAATTTCGTTGAAAATGTTTGTGAGACATTAATATCTACCTCTTAACCATTCCCTTGCGTTGGATGGTAAATCAAACACAAGGCAAATTGTTACGTGACATATATGTGAGATTACATACAGCATTAGCCACGAATGCTACATTCTGAAATGACTGAGGACAAATCAGCATTCGGTAATCTCCACAATGGGTTTCACCTGCAGGTCCAACACCATGATTGCCTGTATGTCCATGCAGCGTCAAAAGCATATGTTAGGTTCAAAGTATGTGTATAGGACAGACATGCCCATTCAAATACGTCAATGAAAGTCTTACCCAATGGCACAAACTCGAAACATTTCATTGCAAGTTAATAATATGTTTATTGGTGCACATACCTGGGAAGCATTCGATATGAGAATCCAAGAATACAATGACCGGTCCCTGGGCGTTCTTGTATCCAAGCAACCGAGCACGTGTGAGGCCCCCTCGTTCTGGTGCCCGTACAATTTTTACCTTGGGATACTGAGCCATGTATTTCTCCAAGGGTGCCTTCAGATGTTCTATTACAAAAAAACACCTTGTGAACGTTTTTACCATGCATTCAGAAACGATTCAACAAAGACGATTAAATGTCAACACCAATTATACTGTCACGTGAAACAGCCCAAGGATACATAAGCACAATCAAATAGTTCCATCAGTTTTCACTAATTATATATATTTATAGATTGTTTATATGTAGTTGTTGTTGCAGCATCACGAGGACATGAGGTGCTTTGTAAATCTCTGGGGATTTATACCATGGTCCAGAACTTGACATACACCGAGTAGTGGTACTGATATTATAGTGCTGCAATTTGGCCAACACCGGGTGTCAGTTTGTTGAGATCTGATTGATTCTCTGATTTTTAATGAACCATTGTTGTCGAATTTGCAACTGAACTGCGCTGGTATCGTTCCCGTTAGACAAACGACTCTGATTATTCCCCCGTTCTGGCGATTTCCACGTATTGCTACAAAAACACACAAATGCTATGTTGTGGTTATGTCATAGCTAGACCGAAATTACACTAATATGTCCATGCATAACCGTAGTTATATGATTATTATATAAATGTTTTGAAAAGAAACATTTATCGTCCTAAACTCCTAAAACAGGAGCTTGGATGATGCGGAGAGGATAGGCTGGTATACCTTGTGCAGAAAAGTCATCCACCAATATGATCTCCCTCAGTAAGTGTGTCGGTGACCTGTCCAGTATACTGTGGACACTCCGCAGGAGAACAGACCAGGCCTCGTTGTGGAAACACATGATGATACTGGCCATCGGTAGATGTTCGTACGTGATGCTTTTACACCTGGACGATTGACGTTATGTATCTTAATATGTATGATATATGTATTCTTTCATTGGAGCTTCAATGTTCAAAGATCATACTAAAACCAATAGACATTTTGCCATGCAGTTCGACATTAACCTTAAATATTGCTGGTTGTAGTGTTGAGAAACAAAGAAACGAACGTTGGTTTTAAGTATGCTCTTTGGGAGAACACTGAACCTCCAACAAAAGAGCCCATCCCTATAGAAGTCATAATGATTGAAAATTGTGTCTCGCGGTGAAAAAGGTACAAAATAACTTTATTCCCGTTACGTTTCTATCTCGTCAACATCAAAAGTTATGTGGTTAATGTGATGATCTGCCAAAATTAAAAGGTTATTGCCCTTCATTCCTCAAGATCCTCTGGCAATAGAGAGTGAAGTAGCAGGTTAAATTTCAACCCTTCATCTTTCTGCCTACATTCACGCTGACTGGGGAACACGTGTAAAGTGACACGGAAACTTCCATAGCGTTCTACCTAAAGCTGCCTCACAATATCAATACAACTGAAATTGATCACTTGTCTACACGTGTCACATCTTGAAGCTATTTAGGCGATAGTGTCAGAGTTTTTCTGGATTTATACCTCTTCTTATCAATAAATCAATTAATGCACTTCAGATTGCCTTCAGCTCAATATGGCCGCAAAATGACGCTCGAAGAGCAACATAGACACCGAAATGCCCACCATATATTGGTCGTAAGTGATGCCAATTTGAAATTCGTTCTGCAATCTGTTGAACCCAACATGGTCTCTAAGGACACTTTGACATGCATCTAAGAGAAATCAATATCCATCAATCTACAAACTTGTGACGTGAAAGCTGTTTGGTAAAAGCCAATACGAATTTTTAAAGTGAACTTTATGAGATATGAGAAATGTACGATCAGGAAATGAAATCAAACATAGCGGTTACTACTCGACATTCGTATAAAGATCTTTTTGCAGCAGGATGGAAGTGAATAATCCCTGCAGATGTTTAAAATTTCAAGAAAATGACTGATAAAGGACGTCTTCGATTTACAATTGAACTTCCTTACAAGTAAACCGAAGCGTGTAACGCAATAACAAATAATTGTACACTGTATGCCAAACACCTCCTATCCAACCCCTGCCAAACATCGACAATTCTGGTTAAGCGTTGCGTAAGTCATTTGCCCTTGGCCATTTTGCCTGAAGCTTCGATTACTTTTTTTTTCTTTTTGTTGGCTACATTGGCTACATTGGTCCTAATGTTAATATCGTTTCATAAATTCCAGCTTGTGAGTTTTCTATGATGAAATAAAACAAAAACAAATCTGCGGCTATGATACACTGCGCATGTACTTGTGTGTGCGCGTGCGTTTTTGTTGTGTTGTGTGTGTGTGCATGTGCGTGAGCGTGCAAGTACACATTTTGACTTATGACGGTTTTCCATTGCTAGCGTACTGATACACCGTAGTTTACATTCATAAACCAGTCAGCAACAGCTGGAGACAGGGTAATAATGTGTACCATTTTGTACCATTGTTAGATATGACACAACCATACACTTGCTGTCTGCTAGTAGAGGCTTTGTCGGGTTGTTTCCGTTTTATTGTCATGGAAGGAGTCTCAGGTACACTGTACGTCTATTCAAAAGCGCAGTGATATTGTTGAATTATTATCCACATTATACATAATGTGTATGAATGTCATAAATGTCTCAAGTACATGACTCGAGCCAAATCGACAGTTCATTAACTTGTAAGAATTTGTAAAATTGGACACGATCAAAATTTTGATCGCCGCAACAGGCATTGTTCTGGATTGTGTTGGATTTCTGCGCCTCGGTGCAGAAGCACTATTTTAGTTCCTTTCATGTTCGAAGTATTGACAAGTGCAACAGTTGCTGGAGGTAGTTATTGCTACGGGGATATAGACGCGGGGTCGAAAGTAGACTGGTCTTGTATTTGTGCTTGAAGTGCGGGGGGAATGTTATCTTCTCAATCCCAAGTGCACTTCCACAGTGCATGAAATAAGACAAAAACCCAGCCAGACATGAGGGCTGGTAACTTCAAAATGTTACCAAATGGATTTAACCACACCGGACAATCCACTTGTCAAGTCTAAATGTAACGCTCAATTTGAAAAGTAGATTTAAGATATGGTGAATTTACTAAGGTGTATGGAACATGTTATCTAAACAAATTTACCAGACCATCGGGACGGCTGACTGTAAATTTTGTCCGTACGTCAGAAATCTCACACACTGACTTCCATACTTCTAAGACGTCTAGTTCGACTTGTTCGTGTGTATATTGTGTAAATTTCAGCATATTATTCTGTTTTCAAGAATGCAAGACGGAAATAGCTTATCCAGGATTTATACCCAAACCACTTCACTTATAATGTTTGTTGGTTTGTAAAATACTACGCCTTATTGAGAGCAAAGTGTATGCATATAAGTTGTAATTTGAAAAATGAATACATTTCATATTGAACGTCATGACAGCTGGCTACCTACTCAGGGGGTCTGGAGTCGGGGAGACGTCGGTGGATGGAGATGAGGTCACTGACGTAAACGTTGAAGCGGTTGATTCGGCGTCGTTTGTCCATTACTTTTTGTTCTGTGATGTTCAACTTTGGCAGGTACCCTCTTCCAAACTCACCTTCATCATCAGAAAAGTAATTATATTGTTATTGCTTTAAATACGTATGCATTGCATACTAACAGGGAGCGTTGAACAAATATCACATGCACACTTACTTGGTTGGTTGTTTAACGCCGCAAGCAACAATATTCCAGATAAGCAATCCAGTGATCAACATCGTGAACATTGTTCTACACAATTGGGATACGATGACATGTGTGAAGCAAGTAAGCGAGCCTGACCACCCGATCCCTTTAGTTGCCTTTTACGACAAGCACGGGTTGCTGAAGATCAATTCTAACCCGGATCTTCACGGGTGGGCACAACGGGGAATGTTATCAAACGGGGAATGTGATATCAAATCTTACTGAGAGAAACTGAACGTTAACATACCTTCATAAAAATATTTTAAAACATAAGCTGAATCAAGAGAAACAAAGTTTAAAACGGTACTCAGTGTAAATACAAATGAATATTCAAAATAACACTCATGATATGCACACTTGCAATATGAGTGAGTGAGTTTCGTTTTACGCCGCACTCAGCAATATTCCAGCTATATGGCGGCGGTCTGTAAATAATCGAGTCTGGACCAGACAATCCAGTGATCAACAGCATGAGCATCGAACTGCGCAATTGGGAACCGATGACATGTGTCAACCAAGTCAGCGAGCCTGACCACCCAACCCCGTTAGTCGCCTCTTACGACATGCATGGGTTACTGAAGGTTCATTTTACCACGGACCTTCATCACCGGTGACAGCCACAGAGTAGGAACCCTGAGAGCAATGGACACTTCACATGTAACCTAATCAGATACACACTCTTTACGTGAACATGTTTTGTGAATCAAAGTTTACCCCATTAAATTATGATATCCGAAGGTCGATGGAACTTTGAAGAAGGTGAAAAAGGCAACATACCTGGCCCATCCTCTGGACTATTTTCAACAAATGGCGGAAACTGCACTTCCGGTTGTTGTTGTAAACTTTGATTAACATTCTGTATTTCCTGTCCTACTTTCACCACATTGCCATTATTCGCTCCCACACCCTGCTTTACAGTGGTAGTCTCCCTTTGTTTCCTTGACACCGCTTTATCGCGTTCCTTCAGTGCCTCCTTGGCTTTCTGTCCGTCAGTGATAATTGACTGAAGCAAATCGCGAACGTTTGAGACATTTTGCGGGAACATCTCGTGAAACATATCCCGTACCAGCAGCTTCATGTACTGTCTGTCCCCGCTTGTGAGTGTCTCCCTCCTTCCATGGGTGTGAGGGCTGTTTACTGTCAACGTGTCGTCATATCCGGACGGAAGCGCCCATTGCATGGAACACAGCACCAACACAATACAGCAGAAACTGAACAGGCGAAAGGTCATTCGTTGATATTTCCTCATCATCCCACAATCAGTACGACGACAATCACGCAATCATAAAATAGTTTGTCCTCTCCAAGACGCCTGAGATAAAATTGTCAAAGTATTAAAACATATAACATAAATATGATTTTATGAGACAAGGTTCACTATCTGCAACGACCTGATCATTCAGGTAGCAGGTAAATCTAATAAACACATACATTAACCTCTTTGACCGGTTTGTGTTTTGGCTTCATGCCTTCTTACTTTTAGGGTAGGTAAGTTTCTGAGTGACGGAGTGAGTGAGTTTGGTTTTAAGCCGCTTTCAGCAATATTTCAGCAACATCACTGAGGGGAACACCACAAATGAACTTCATACATTGTACTCATGTGGGGAATAGAACCAGGGTCTTCAGCGTGACGAGCGAACCCCTTAACCCCAGCTACCCCAGCGTCCCTAGGGGCGTATTTATTCGACCTAAGTATGTAAAACACATCGTTTAGAAGACGGATCGTGCACCGCAATAACCAAAATGGAGATAACAAGCAAAATACGTTCCTGAATGGTGAAAGAAAATAATAATTTTACACATGTATTTTAAAATTATTAAATTAACGAATTACTAGGTCAAAATTATTATTTCAGTCATCATTTGAAATCTATGAGCGTGAAATAAAAAACATATTTATTCCATTTCCTTTGAGAAACATAGTTTCAACTTTCTCCAAGTTGTTGCGGTAATGACATCAGAGAACTCAGACTCAACTTGAAATACATTTTTAAAAATATAATATGCATACAGGGATAGAGACATGAAATATTTATCAATGAGCCATAAATATCCATTAATTGTAGCACCTTATTTTCATATTTTAGTATACCCCAAAATTTCAAAATCTGGTAGAATGAACGTATCATAAACTGCAGGACTGACTTATCGGGTTCAGCTTTATGATATGTTAAACGCAACATACACATATAGACATAACCGTTATGTAGGGTTTGATACCGAAGCTTCAATAGTTCATTAAAATACATTTCTAGATTGTATCATCTACATACCACAATGCGTTCTCTCCACGTTGTCGTGTCTGTCACCGGATGGCCATCTTATGAAATGATCAAATTTCTACACTGACATATCTGTCTAACATCAGGTAGGCACAGCTGCCTGGCTGCAGATCATAAAGCCATCGATTGCAGTGTTGACATGCACCACGTGTGTCATGCTTGCATTGTAGTCTTTTCACGGGTTTTAATGAAAGAAAAACTTACCATCAGATATGCTGGTTGGATGGTTTGTTGTATAACGCTGTATTCAGGAATATTCCAGCTTTATGGCGGGGGTCTGTAAATAACTGAGTCTGCATCAGATATAAGACACATTGTTGAGTGACATTCCCAAGTTGAAACAATAATGTAATCCCAAATCTGTACGTGAATGAATTTGTGGTTAACAACAAGAGAACGACGTAATATAAACAATTGGGTTCTAAAATTATTACGTTTACAAATCAATAAAAGTACTGCAAAGGAATATAATTGTAGCAATAAATAGAGTGTAGAGTGCCTGTGCTTATTCAAAGGCCGTACAAATATAATAACAATGTAATGCAAAAGCAGTGGTTACTGTAATAAAGACACTGATGTTACTATTCACGCTGGTAAAGGTGGTAAAACGTCCAACAGAGGGCAGGATTTGACATTCAGAGTAAGTGAGTGAGTGAAAATATGGTTTTACGTCGCTTTTATCAATATTCCAGCAATATCATGACGGGGGACACCAGAAATGGGCTTCACACATTGTTCCAATGTGGGGAATCGAACCCGGGTCTTCAGCGTGACGAGCCTAACCACTAGGCTATCCCCCTTTTTGCGAGAGGTAAATCAATACGTTTTGAAACGAATAGTTGGAATAGTTGAAGGATGAATGGTATTTGAGACACGCGTGCCCGTGCAGAAATTTCTTAACGGTTACCGGTCGTGCATTTATCATTGTAATTTCTAGTCTACAAACGCATGTAGAATCTCTACAATAATAAAATAATTTTTGTTTGGAACTTAAAGAAAGTGCCATGGCACTTCAATTGCGCAGTTATAAGAGCTACATTTATGGCGCTTCAAAATAGATGCACACTCACGTAGTAGACACATTAATATTATTATTAGACATATGTATGATCTCATCATGACCTCAGTGCATGACCTCATTGCCGTAATAAAAGCGCCTTATTACATAGCGGGTTTTGTTGTCGCTATCAGAGGTCGACACTATGAGTGGCATTTCATCACCGACTAGAGAAAGCGCCGAATGATTAATCGGGAATAAACTTTTACCCTTCTTGAGGCAATGCCGTCGAACATTATGCTAACATTTTTGTAAAAGTCTGCCCGTGTCAGCGGTGTGCGTTCACCACAATGCTAAGTAGTTATCAGAGCCATGTTACGTCATATGACGCCATGGCGTGTCCTTAGGACCTCTCTGGAGACATGCCCACCCACCGCGCTTCGAAATAAAACATCGAACCGAGCATAAAGTTCATTAGAACACATCATGTTAGGTTCAGCTGTCCTGACGGCCAAAAGTAGGCCATGACTCAGTCGAGTATATCCCACTTGCGTATATCGATGTTTACGATGTTGATCACTGGATTGTCTGGTCTATTGCTGAGTGCGGCGTTAAACAACAAACAAACCAAAATAAACTTAACGGAGACATGTCTTATTTTCACATGTCACCCTGTAACAGTTTCACTTAAGATCCTGGCAGATTAGTTCAGAATGCTCTTGGAATCTAATGAACAGACTTCATCCAAATGACTCAGAGCAAGTCTGCAGCGAATGTCATTCAGTCCCTGAGGTTAATAGCTTTCACGGTACACAGTGACATTCGTTATGCAAGAACATGTCTACGCTTTGGTACAAGTTGTATGCTTGAACGCTTTGTATAGAATCCACAGGGGACGATCAAGACACAGGACCCTTGTGTATCTGGGTATACCCAGGCATCTTCAGGATACAAAACGTATCAAATCCGACATAACCACGGGAGATTTTAAACCGGAGGATTCTCTAACAAATCGGAAGGTAATTTGTGAAACTGTTGCTTATACCCACGGATACATTTGATGCAAAATCCAGGTCAAAAGATGTTTATTGTATGAAAGGCCTCCGGCTCATATACACGAGAGTAACAGTGATATAGGGACATTGTTTTTATATTTACATAGATATCTAAGGGTATACAATTCGAGATGAGAAAATCTATTTTTGCTAATGTATGCTTAATATACAAAGACAATTGAACAATAATGTTTTCATTATTAGTTTGTAACAAAGATATATATGCATATATAAATCCGTGATAACAAGGACATATCAGCGTAAAATGAATTCATATTTTATGTAACGCTCTAAAATAATTTCAATGTTTAAATCACATTCTGAAAATGTCACAATTCAAGCATAAGTTTAATTGAAGAAATGTGTTATTACACTGAACACTTCGTCTCCCCATTTGGCGCACGGGACGAAGGTGTAATTTAAATAAGGACTAGCAGCGTCGCATTTGGTGTTATTGGTCTAAGTGGAGTATTGCTATTAACATGTGTCGACAAAGTGCGTTAGCACTACGAAAGCCGAACGAGTACAGACAGACTCCTGAGCTTGAACACTTAAAGGTTGCTTGGCTGGTTGTTCAACGCCGCACTTAGGAATATTCCAACTATATGGAGGCAATCTGTAAATAATCGAGTATGGACCAGACAGTCCCGTGATCAACAGAATGAGCGTCGATTTTCGCAATTAGGATACGATGACATGTGTCAACCAAGTCAGCGAGCCTGACCACCCGATCCCGTTAGTCGGCTTTGGCGACAAGCATGGGTTGCGAAGACCAATTCTAACCCGGACCTTCACGGGTGTCAGTAGAGGAAGGGATAAGCATATGTCCTCAGTCGAAAACGCAGGTTCGAATCCCCACATGGCTACAATCCTCTTCTTGGGTTCCGTGAAAGTCCTGGAATGTGGTTAAATCAACAATAAACTGTTTGCCTCTTAAAACAATCAAATTATGCCTAACAAATAAAGCATTGTATTTTAAATGATGCGACTGTACTGTGAAAAACTTGTTTCACTTATCAATATTGTTATATTGCTTTCACCTTGCAAAATTCATCTTTTTGTCGATGAATCTATTACTAGTTGTATTACTCCTCATATCCCCCTGTCCAGACAAGCATCCCCGCGCTTTGTTATGAGTTTTTTTCATTTTGTATTTGTTCCCATCAATACATATTTTGAATATATGTGTAGTTATATGCGAGTATACATTGCCGAAAAATCAAATATATATAAATATTGCACATTGAGTTTCAGCGGTTTACAATGATCATTCTGGATCAAATAATGGGAATAGAGGAAACCAGGTTTTTGCGAATTTATCAAAAACATTGTTTCCTTTAGATATAAATGTTTCGACCATGAATATGTCTTAAAAAATCTTTATAAAGTTTTCTAAGCTAGGAATTATTGTTTTCAGGGTGCAAATATAGATGTGTCTTTTAGCAGAAATCATTGTATGACAAAGTAGTGGGTTAGTACTGAGAGTACCAAACCAAACGTGAAATTTTGTCAACTGCAATACCATTCCATTCCAAATATTTTTTGTTTCCTCACATTCCCAATATATATGCCATATGTTTTCATCTGCTTCATTACAGAAAGTAAATATTAAATTGTCAACCAGATTCGTCTTTAAAATTTCTTTTTTGGGTATAAACAGTTCCATGCAAAAAAATAAATTTAAAATCTAAAAGCTTAACATGTTTTATATTCTTTCTATATAGATTAAAGATCAAGGGCCAATCAAAATCAATATCTTTGAATATATTTTCCCATTTATGGCAGATATGTGGTAAAACACTATCAGATAGCAATTTATCATACAATTTTATTGAACCTTTAGCTGAAGTCATGAAATCCTTTTGTAAAGAGTTTATATTAAGGTTATTTGTATACATATATCTGTAGCCTTTTAAGGCCTTTTTACATGATTCAGATAAAATATATAAAATATATTCAAGATCTAACTATGTACCCCTTATCCCATATGTATTTCGCAAATCAACCTTTGTTAGCCCAGTGTCTGATAAAGTGGTTTGGGTTTTTAAAGTTATGATTGAGCCACTTCCTAGCCTTCAAGACATCCCTCCAAAAAGGATTTTCAATTTCAACAATATTCTGAAAACTTGAGCCATACTTTAGTATATCTTTTAATGGAAAATTGCATGGAGTACTTACATTTGCTTTTCTGACATATAGTCTGAGTATGGATAGTTTCATTGCATTAACAAAGGTTTTCATATCAATCATGCGTAAACCCCCATCTTAATAATCTTTTTTTCAAAATGCTCCGTCTGATGTTATAAATTTTATTATCCCAAATAAATCTGAAAAATATTCTCTCTAGAGAAGTAATAAATTCATCTGGTGAGTTAGGTAACGTATTAAAGATATGCACCAATTTTGAAAGAACCATTGTTTTAATAACAGTAATTTTGGCGTTATGATCTTTGTTGAAAAGTCGGAATTAGCCTGTCATTTAGTATGTATGCGCATGGTTGTCTAAAAACAGAGCCTCCGATCAACCGGCCCACGTAAAGGACAGCCTACTCGTGGTGAGTATGTAACGCTAAAAGGTCTTCCCGCTTGTGGACCCGGGGTAGAACAGGTCCTCAGCATCCCATTTCTGGTCATAAGGGAGGGTGGGGGACTGCATTGGGCAACCTGTATGCCGTGGGGTGCGTCTCTTTGACAGTGGAGGAGTGAGTTAAGTTTTACGCCGCACACAGCAATATTCCAGCTATATGGCGGCGGTATGTAAATACTCGAGTCTGGACTAGACAATCCAGTGATCAACATCATGAGCATTGTGGGATGTGTCTACCAAATTAGCTTGCCTGATCACCCAATCCCGTTAGTCGCCTCTAACGACAAGCATGGGCTATTGAAGACCAATTCTAACCCGGATCATCACGGGTGTCAGTGGAGGAAGGGAGCCTATTGGTTGAGGCCAAAGGTGTTCCTAAAGTCCAACTTCGACCATAACTTCTCCTGGACGGGTGGTCACCCGTGAAGTCCGGGTT